GTGGAAGAAAAAGAAACCTAATCCTCTCACTAAAAGTTAGATTTTCCTTAGAACTAAAGTTAGTCTAACAGCATGAGTGGGTTCAGAGCAGAAAAGACCCTTAGTGAAGAAGGGAGCCAAACAGTATCCCAGCCTTTGTGGGTCCCGCTGTGGTTCTTCAATATTAAAATTGTATGAGAATTTATCGAACAACATAAGAGATGTTTCAGTGTGGCTTATAATTAGGTATAAAATTAGTGGTATAGACAGCAGATACGTTAAGTTCAGGAATTCCCTTGTTCTTTCTGTGCCTTTGCTATGAGCCTTCCTCAAAACCAAGTCATAGAAGCATAGTATTAGAAGATAGATCAGTAGCCATCTTGCCCAGCCAAAGGCATGAGTATTCTCTATACCATCTCCAAGTGGTCACCCAGCCTCTGTTTAAACATCTACAGTGACAGGGAAATCACATCTTGAGCCATCTATTGCCTTTTCAAATAGCTTTAATTATTAGAAATTCTTCTTTTTGTTGAGCCCCAAACTTTCCACCTGTAACTTTAACTCCTCGGTCCTAGCTCTGCCCTCTGGAGTCATAAATAGTAAATAGAACAAACCTTGTACATGACATTCCTTGTTGCCTTTAAACATTTAAAGGCAAATCTCATTTCCTGTTCATAACATATATACCAATTCCTTCTTTGCTTTACTTTGCATTTACTTGTAGTTTGTACTATGTTATTTCTTATTTGCTTAGGTTTTCAAAGTGTTTCTTGTATATTGCAGCTAGGTTGCACAGTGCATAGAGCTCTGAAGCTTGGAGTCAAGAAGACTTGAGTTCAAATTCAGCCTCAGACACTTCCTAGCTGTGTGACCCAGGGCAAGTCACTTAAACTCTGTCTGCCTCAGTTTCCTCAATTATAAATGAGGATAATAATAGCACCTAGCTCCCAGCGTTATTATGAGGACAAAATGAGATAATACTTGTCAAGCATTTAGCGCAGTGAGTGGCACACAATTAGCACTTAATAAATACTTATTTCCTTCCCCTCTCTATCCTTCTTCCATTATTTATTTATCTTGTCTTTCTTTCTAGATTATGAGTATCCTAGAGGAAGGAACCCATTACAGCCAGGATAAGAGTGGGTTAGTAGAAAGATGTTATATTTGGAGTTAGAAAGAAATACCCTAGTTTAAATATCCTATCACCCATCTACTAACTATGTGACTAAAGTCAAGTTTTAATTAATGTCTTTGAGCCTCAGTTTCCTCATCTGTAAAATTAGGATAATAATACCAATAATGTATTACATGTGGCTAGTACCATCTATAAAGAGAATCAATGAAACAATTCACTTCAACAAAGAAAATTCAACAAGCATTTCTTGGTTGTTGTTTTTTTTTAAAGCAATTGGGGTTAAGTGACTTGCCCAGGGTCATACTATTGTCAAGTGTTTGGTCTGAGGCCAGATTTCAACTCAGGTCCTCCTGACTTCAGGGCAGATGCTCTATCCACTGCACCACCTAGCTGCCCCACAAGCATTTCTTAAAGTGCATGCTAAATGCAAGGCACTATTACTTGTTAGATACACAAGGATAAATACATAAAAATAGTTCCTGCCCTCTAAGGACTTCCATTTCATTATTTGATAAAACATATATAATACTCTGAGGTTGGATAGAGCACAACAATCATGGTGATGAGAAAAATTGTCATTTTTCTAGGAGGTGACACCAGCAACAGCTGTAAGGAAACTAAAGATTCCAAGAAATGGAGATTAGGAGCAAGTGAATGGAGTGCAGCTGTGTAGCCTGCACAAAGGCACAGAGGTAGAAGATACAATGCCACATTACTGGAATAGCAGGCTGGCCAGTTTAAATGAAAGGAAGAGGAGTAAAATAAAATAATTCTGAAAAGACAGGCTGGGGGCAGCTAGGTGGCACAGTGGACAGAGCACCAGCCCTGGAGTCAGGAGGACCTGAGTTCAAATCTGGCCTCAGACCAAACACTTGACACTTGCTAGCTGTATGACCCTGGGCAAGTCATTTAACCCCATTGCGTAGCCAAAAACAAAAAACAAAAACAAAAAGAGAGGCTGGAGCCTGACTGAGAAAGGCTTTAAATGCCATGCTGAAGACTCTCTGTTTTGAATTGAAGGCAATAGGGAGCCATAGAATATTCTTGAACAGAGGAGAGACGGTCCTGTATTTTAGGAAGATAAGTATGATAGCCATATTAAGGATGAATTGAAGAAGGTAAAAACTAGAAGCATAGAGACTAATTAAGAAGCTAGTACAATAGTCCATGATGAGAGCCTGAATGAGGATGGTGATCATATTAAGTGAGAGAAGGAGATATGAGAGTTATTGTGGAGATAAAATTGGTACAACTTGGCAACTGGTTGTTGTGTGAGATGTTTGTGAGGATGAAAAGTCAAGCGTGACTCTGAAGTTATAAACTTGGGTGACTGAGAGGATGGTGGAGGTCTCAACAGGAATAGAGAAATTTGGAGGTGATAGCTTTGAAGGAAAAAATTCATTGTTTCCCTTTTTGGCATTTTGAGGTTTTGATTCTAATAGGATATCTACGTGGAGATACCCAGTAGGTAGTCGGAATACAGAACAGAACTCAGTAAGTAATGAGGGTCATATAATACAAATTTGGTAGCCATCCTAAAAGAAATGATAATTGAACTGATGAGAGCTTACAGCATTACAAAGAGAGAGAGAGACAGTAAAGAGGAAGGAGAAAACCCAGGATAGAACTTGGGGGAAACCTGTGAATAGAAGTGGGACACTGACAATAAGCCACTGAAAGAAACTGGGGAGCAGTCATATGGGTAGAACTAGGAGAAAGTAGTGTCAGCAAAATTATCAGCGAAGAAGTTATTGAGAAGGAGGGCAGGGTTGTGTCAGGCATACCAGAGAGGTCAGGAGGGCTGAGGGCTGAGAAAACGGTTAGTAACTAAAAGATTGTGGTTAACCTTGGGGATAGCATACATTCCAGGGGTAAGCTTGAAAGCCAAATTGCAAGGAGTCAGGAAGTAAATGGAAGGTGAGGAAGTAGAGACCAGGAGTGTGGATGGCTTTTCTTAAGGACTGGACCATGAAAGGGAGAAGAGATTTAGAATGACAATTTGAGGAGAGGTCAGGGTCAAGTGATACTTTTTTGAGGATGGGGGAGACCTGGGACCATTTTTAGGCAGCAAGGGAAGGAAGCAGTAGAGAGAGAATGACTGGATACGAGAAGAAATGATCAAAGGAGTGAGCTACAGGAGGATATAGGAGGAAATGTGTTTAAATGGGCAAGTAGAGGAATTGGCCTTAGCAAGGGCTACCTAAATGTCGGATATCATTATTATGTGATCTTTTATATCCCTCACAGAACCAGTTTGGCTGGAACATGGGGTATTGGGTTCTTTTCTCCTAGCTTGGAGGGAAGAGGGTGGGAAGAAAATTTATCCTGTCTAATTCAGCAATAGGACATTTCCAAGCATTTCTAGCAATAGCATTAGGAATGGAGCCATACTCTATGACTAGTATCTTGGAGGTGACAATAGTGGTTCCTTGCATGACAGTACTATTTAGAACTGAAATATGGCTTCTGAATTTAGGAAGAACTCATTCTCATGATGTGATCTTGATATAGGCACAGCACTCTTGATAGTCAAAAATTGCCATCTAGGATATATGTTTTTGTTTGTTTTTGGTTTTTTGGGGGGTAAGGCAATTGGGGTTAAATGACTTGCCCAGGGTCACACAGCTAGTAAGTGTTATGTGTCTGAGGCCAGATTTGAACTCGGGCCTTCTGACTGTAAGGCCGGTACTCTATCCACTGCTCCACCTAGCTGCCCCTTAGGATATATGTTTTGAGAACCCATTGATACAGAAATTTATTTGGGAGAAACTGGCCCCAACTATAAGGTTTGGACTCTTTCACAATGAGGTCTTTATAATAATATCAGCTTTGACCGTAAAGTGAACATATGGTTTGCTTAGTTCTGTACCTGGGTTTTTTGTTTGTTTGGTTTTTTTTAAGGCAAATCTTTGTTTCCTTGCTCTAAAGGTATGGCCTCTTCATCCCCCCATTGCTAGGTGTCTGAATGAATGAAAAGGTAGAGGTAACAAGGGCTTTGTAATGGTTGCTCCTCTTCTAAGATGGTAGATTTATAATTTTTCAAAAAGTAAATAGGTGCTATAGGCAAGAGATAGAGCCCTAAGAGAGGAATGACTCCTTCCAAGGTACCCAGCTTCCTTCCAGCAAGTTGCTTTATGGAAGATCTAGATGACTATACTGCCTATGTTTAAAGTATTTTAATGAAAAGAGGGAGTCTCAGGAAATACTGAATTCTGTCTTGATTGGTAAGTCCCTGTCTAGGCTTCATTAGAAGCCCCAGACATGCTCATTCTCTAGCCTGTTCTACTTTGAATACCAGCTGTTTCATCACCTTGAGAATGACTCTACCCTGAAACTGATTCAAGAATGGATGAGTCCCCACATAGAACCACTAAGCCCTTAGGGCCTAAACAATCTAGTTTTTGTTTTTTTATCCCCACTGCATATAGCAAGCACTTATTAAATGTTATATCTATCTTTCTATCTATCTAATGCAAGGTAGGTAATGTAGTAGATAGAGCACTGGGTCTAAGTCAAAAGGCCTGAGTCCAAATCTGCCTCAGTCAACTTATTGGCTGTGTGACCCTGGGCAAGCTGCTTGACTTCTATCTGCCTCAGTTTCTTCAACTGTAATATGGGGATAATAATAACAACTACCTCCCATGGTTGTTGTGAGGATCAAATGTGACAATATTTGTAAAGCACATAGCACAGTGCCTCGCACATAGTAGGAGCCTCAGAAATCCTTGTGTTCTTCTTATCTGTATCTTTATTAGTGGATTACCTTCATTTCTAAAGAAATTGAAATCAAAAAGAAAAGAAGAGAATGAAGAGTTATCTATGTGTGGATTGATGTGTTCAGAGAAGCTAGGAATCATGTGGCTTTGCTTTTCTTTTTGTTTTTTACCTGTGTTATTCGGATCATACTTGTGGAAAGCTTTTATGAGGCTGCTTTGCCGGCTTATCATTCTCTCTCCTAATATCTTGAAGGCAGCACTTTCAACGATATCCACCCTATTTTAAGAAATAAATTATATAGGTTACAAAATTATTTATAATCTTTGATCCGAGGATCTCACTAATATGATATTATGGATATTATTGACAGCAAAAAACAACAACCAAACTAAAAAACCAAAACTCATACATACAACACTATTTATAGAAGCATCTGTGATACCAAAAATCTGGAAACAAAATATGGATCCATTTACTGGAGAATGGCTTAACAAGTAATACAAGGGCAACGTAATATTATGCTGTGATGAATGACGAATATAAACAATTTGGAGGTCCAGCTTCAAGAGCTGTTTGAGAAAGCAGATCCCTTGCAGCTATACCCAAAGACAGCAAAGATCAGTGGGAATAAGCCCTAAAGGAGCATGACATTCTTCCACTTTTCCCACGGCTGTTCACCATGTCAGCAGAGAAATAAAAGAGTAACAAACAATGTAGCTGAGAAAGGGCAAACTAGACCAGGGGTTGGCAACCTGTGGCCTCAAGGCCACATGTGACCCTCTAGGTCCTCAAGTGCGGCTCTTTGACTGAATCCAAACTTCACAGAACAAACACCCTTAATAAAAAGGATTAGTTCTAGTTACTAAACATTCAAATAGAAGTGAAGCTTCAGAAAAACTAGAACCCTCTTTGCCTTAGACTTCCGTATGTACTTGTGGGACAGTGCGTTCCAGATTTGGGGGGAAATATTTTGTTCCAATTATTCTTATTAGAACTGTTTAGTAAATACCTCTAATTAAAAGCTAATGAACTTGGTTTGGACAATTAATATTAACTAGATAATCAATTGGAGCATACTGTTGGGGACTTTGAGTAAATGTGTTAAAACCACCCTGGTCCCCTCAGGGTTATATCCCTAAAATCCTGCGGAGTCATATAATCCGCTCTGGGGCTCTGCCAATGCTGGTGGAAGTCTGGGGAAAATAGCCCTAGAGGGAATGTCAAACTTGTGGAAAGTGAAATATAACAGACACAAAACAAAACAAAAAATCTAACATCAAATGAACAATACAGAAAATGGTTACAACTGTGTAAATATAGTCAACATGGAATGACGACAAAATTCTGGTCAAATACAATAGTAAATGCTAGTACCATATTGCCAGAGTCAAAGGATCTATTTTCCCTTTCTGTTTGATATTGATAATAGGGGACTGGTGAGGGAGAGTGGAATGAACTTGTTACAGCAAGTGTCAGAAAAAAATTGCATTAGTAAGCTTTTAAAAATAAATACTTCATATTAATATGTTGTTTCACTATCACTTATTACTAGTTTTCAACATGAATTACACAAATTCCTTCATCTTGCTTCAAAAACTTGACCTCTGGGATTATTCAGCCATTATATACTATTTGTTAGGCACCCAATCCCTTCTCCCCCTTCCCACCACCCCTAAGTACAATACTAAATGGAAGAATGTTTGAGATCATCTAGTAATCAGGGTGGAGAAACTGCAGCCTCAAGGCCACATGTGGCCTTCTAGGTCCTTGGGTGCAGCCTTCTGACTGAGTCCAAGTTTCACAGAACAAATCCTTTTATTAAGGGGATCTGTTCTGTGAAGTTTGGATTCAATTCAAAAGGCCACACTTGAGGACGTAGAGGGCCACATGTGGCCTCAAGGCCACAGGTTGCCCACCCTTGATTCTAGGTCAGCTCCCTCATTTCACAGAATAGAAAACCTAGGCCCTAAAAAACTGACTTGTCCAAGATCACTTAGCTAATAAGGACAACCAGAATTTGAAGACAGTGAGACAGTAGAGAGGCAAGACTAGAATAGAAAGGGTTTGAATGGTGGTGATAAAAGAGGGAAAACAAAAATAAAAATGCACAGAAGTAGTTAGAATTCGTATTTTACAGCTGAAGAAAGTTCCTGTTTATGTTAGCTCTTTCAGCAGGAATCAGCTAATTTCTGAAACCAATTAAACTGAGACAAGAAATACATTCAATAGGGAATATAGTTGGCCAGTTTATAATCTTAACGTTGAGTAAATTTGAGATGGCATGGAGTTAAAAGATGAATGAAAGAGGAAGAAAGCTACCAATGCTAGGAAAGGGAAGGAAACACAATGGCTAAGCTGGGATTGGAACGTTCTAGCAACAAGCATTGCAAGTTGAGCTGGTACATTGTCCTGCCTACAGGTAGCATTTTTTTTTCCCCATGGAAATACATTTCTCCATATTTTGTTCATGTTAGCAATACCTGTCTACCCTTTGCAGTAACAGTAATTAATCTCCGTAGTAATATATAACAAAATAAAACATACACAGGGTTTTGATTCATCAGTATTCACCATGAAGTACAACTGTACCTTTCATGAAGAGTTTTCCCTTGAGTTATATGGTTGGATTGGTACTGGAAAAATCGAGGAACATTATCCTGGCCCAGTTTGATATAAGCACCTCTATTACTGCCTTCTTCATAATAGTTAGATGCAGAAAACACTGTGATGATCTGATTAAGGATAAAGAAAATATTGGCTTTATGCGTGTCCTCAAAGCAGTCAGAAATGTAGATTCTCATAGTGACTTTAGAAAACTATCTATGTTTGCTACAGAGGAACTAATTGCATTGTGGTGAGAGTGTAGAGACTGTACCCGATCAGCATATTTGTAGCTATTTGATTTTCTGATGAATTATTCTAATCCAATATTCTCAGTATATTCACCTAGCGACTTGTAAACAGTTCAGTTTCAGGACTAGGAGCTTTTTGCTTTCATAGCTGCAAACTCTGAGGTCATAGGAGGCTAACTAATCTTTATTTTTTCCCTCTAACATAGCTAGCTATCATAATACAAATCAAGATTTGTCTAGGGCCACAATCTTCCTCTTACCTTAATAACTAAGTGAAACATGTCTCCAAAGGATGAAATGCTCTAAGTTTGGAGCTTGGAGGGGCCCTGAAACCTGAACTACTACCAAGGATGTTGAATTATTCACCAAGATTGGTGTGTATCAAATCACCTGCTTAGCACCAGGAGATCCAGTCAATAGTCACTAACTAGTGCATAGCCTAAGACGAGTCACTTCATTTTTTTGGTGTTTTCTCTTCTTAATATCCGCTTTATGAGATTGTTATATGGTTAAAATGAGATAATGTTGATGAAAATACTTGGACAAGGAAGAAAATGCTGCTATGTGAGATGGTAATGATTTTGTATTATTGCTGGAGTATTTTTTAAATTAATTTTTAAATTAATTTTAATTTAAATTTAAATTAATTTAAATTTAATTTAATTAAATTTAATTTAAATTAATAAAAATAAATTAATTAACAGCTCATCTATGATCCTTTCCTTTCTTTTCTTCTCCACAGTTACTATAGGAAGGACACCTATTCAGAATTAGGCAGGAGAGATCTCAGTCTCTCAAAAAAAAAAAAAACCAAAACCCAACTACACTCATACATTTCTTTGATTGGCACTGTTCACTGCAGATCACCTTAGTAATTCCTTATTTGTGATGTGTTTTGTAGTCCACTCACCTCCACCCCTGCCTTTCCTTTGTTTTCTGAATGATATTCACTTCAATTTTCTAGAGACTGTAGTGTTCCATAACATACAGCACCACTAGTCAAATATTGGTACCAGAAAGACAGGCCTTTGTGTCAGAGAGAATTTTGGGATCAGAAAAGAATTTTTTTATATTGTTTTAGTCCATATATGATAGGTATTTAGATGTACAATGTATAGAATATCCCCATTTATATTACAATAATAAACATTATATAATATTACAGATATTATAATACACAAATAATGTCTTCATAGCATAAATTATACCCATAATAATAATCATATTATTTTGTATTATAGATGGGAAAGTTCTATACATTGTCCATCTAACTGATGGTACTCTATATTGTCTATACTCTCTCTAGTATCAAAGAAATGTATGAGTGAAAAAGAAGACAGACTGGCCATGTAGAGTGATGATTAACCAAAGGATAGCCTGTGTGCTCCACAGTTATGTTTTTGATGTCAAGAAAAGGCAAGGAAAGCTTCCAACACATTGGGTGGACCTCTTGGGGAGAATTTTTGGGAGGACTTGAACACAAGAAGGGAAGCCATGGGTAGGTTGTGATTTGCATCATTGGAGGAAATGCCCACGTGGATAAAAGACCACTACCTCATCCAGTGTAACATTTGAGTTACTATACAAACTGTCTCTGCAAGGCTTAGGGAGCCTTAAGCCAATCTAAAGGAGCTGCAATCAACCAATCCATAAATCATCCCCAAGTCAAAGAATCTGCACACTCATCCAAGGCTATCTCTAGAGTTTTTGTCAGAGACTACCAAGATTCCACGAAATACTCCCTAAAATTCTGTACAGTATCCACTATAGCTAAAGCTAGAGTAGTTAACCCCTCCCTCATCTGAGATTAATTACTTAGCTTGGTGAGAACGAATGCTTTATGTTGCTTTTAACCAAAGCCAAAAGGAAAAGGCCAAAGGGCAACAAAGAACAAATTGGAGAGGAAAGAAGACAACTCGGTCAGCTGCCTCCTTTCTCTGTAGGCCTAAATATTTTCCCCAACAGAATGTACTGCTTTGGAGATTGATTTATTTTCAAATTAATGAATTTAGGGGTCACAGGATCATAGACCTAGAGCTGGAGGGGGTTTGGGGGGTACCTAGTCTAAATTTTTTATTTTATCAATGAGAAAACTGAGACACAGGAAGGTGGTGACTTGTCCAAGGTAATACAGGAAAGATGAATCAGAATCCAAAGAAGTCAAGACAGCCTCTTTCCCTCAGAGGCCAAAATATGTTTTATATCAGGCCCTTGTCTACGAATTTATTTATTTTCAAAGGAAATCAGGCTGACTAACCAAATATTACTTAAAGCAAAAGGCAACAAGATTCCTCTATATATTTATGAATTGTACATTTCACAGCATTGCTCAGACTTTCTGCCCCTCCCCCTTTCCTCTCCCTTAGCACCCAATTCTCTCTCTCCCCCTTTGTCCCCCTCTCTCTTCTTTCCTTTCTCTCTCTCTCCCCTCTCTCTTCTCTCTCTCCTGCCTTTGCAACTGGAGAGATTTTCTTGGACTTTTAGCTAAGACACTTCTTTTGATACCTGGCTCTCTAGAGAGAGGTCAATGATTATAACATATACGTGTGTGTGTGTGTGTGTGTGTGTGTTGAGAAACATAACAAGTCATGTTATCTTACCTTTCCATCATGGCATATGTCATAACCTTCCGGTTTACATTCATGAGACCTGATGATCATTTTCAGAGCAAACTTGTCCAATACATTGGTGGTAACATCTGGTCCAAAATAACAACCTCCTCCTCGACTTGTGTTTAGATGACAGCCCTTTTTACTTCTGGGATCACTCCAAAGAATATTGACCATCTTTGAACAACAAATCAGAGCTGACTGCTACCAATGTGCCCAGATTTAAATTTATTAACCAAAACCTCAACTCAAAGTGCATCATAAGGCAAGTCATGCATGGCCCTTTTCTCCTTCAAAATATTACTTTATATACATCCCCTCCATGCACTCTGTCCATTCTCCTCAAGCACCCCAATATCCCCTCTTCCAGCAAACATCTTAAGGCTCAATAAGCTACAGATTTAATGAGGGAAGGCATTATTTTTTTTCTCATTTCTGTACCTAAATCACCTGGGAGAGAAGATTTAGTTATCCCTCTCATGTTCCTTCCATTATTAAGTTGCTTTCTATAAAAGACTTTTTTTTATTTGAGCCTTTTCCTTGTTTTTGAGAAAAGAATATATTTTACTTGAGATGATTTGTCTCTCACCATTCTTTTGTCAATATGGGTCAATGATTATAACATATATACATATATATGTGTGTGTGAATAGATATCACTTAAAATATTCACAATCCCTTTTTCCTCACTATCTTATAGAAGTGAGTAGTGCAATTATTATTATCCCCATTTTATAGATGAGAAAACTGAGGTTCATAGAGGTGAAAGAATTGCCCAAAGTCACACATCTAGAAAGTGTCAAAGGCAGGATTCAAATCTAAGCCCTGTAACTCAAAACTAAGAGCTTTCTATTACACTATATTGCTTCTTGTTATGTCTCTTTTACTACGCCAAATGTATCTTTATGGCTGCTTTTTAAACTAGATGCTAGAGGTAGTTTCCTTTCAAACTACATCAATACAAAAGCTATCTATATCAGAATAAGGGTAGGTTGATATATAGATAGATAGACACAAATATACATATATAGTGTATACATGTATGCATACATGTATATACACACACAAATGCATAGTCTATCATACAGTGGCTCTCTACGTCAAATTTACCTAAGTAGTTCTGGATACACAGACACCAAATTCATTCTACACATTTTCAAATGAAGCAATGAACAATGTTCCAATGAGCACTCTCACCAGCAGCAGGATTATATTGGAACTACAGCAGTTGGGATGATCATTGCCAAGGCAATGAGAGTTCTAGTTCTCATTTCCCAGTTAGAAGTCAATCTTCCAGGAGGTATTTAAGATGTAAAGGACACTTCCTACTTTTGGCCTTACAGGAACTTACAGGAGCACATATTTGGATGGTCTATCTAATGAACACCTCAGAATAAGAGAGGAGGAGCAGGAGGTAAAAAGCTAGAGATCAGAAAGTGTACCAAACTACTTCCTGGAGGTACCAGGTAACTAAATTCTAAGCCAATTAAAGTAAGAGTAAGGTCATATCAATCCCACCATAGGCTATGCTTTCACCATGGCACCCCCCCCCCCCCCCCATGGATTGACACCAGGACTGTATGAGAAAAGCTAGTTTAGAGGTCAGGAGTAAAGCATGAATTCTTGCCTGGTCAATTCCACAGATTTGTATGGAAGAGGTTGGTGTTGGAAATGTTATATAGGTATGTATGCATGTGTGTGTGTATGTATGTATGTATGTATGTATATGCATATGTGTATGCATATATATATGTATATGTATATACACGTGTGTGTGTGTGTGTGTGTGTGTGTGTGTATGTATGTTATACTTGGAACTGGCCTTCCAGGGAAAGAAAGGAAAGAAGAGTTATAGAATGATACTCAGTTGTCTTTGGGGCCATCAAGGAATTACATGTCTCACACACTGCAAGCAAAATGAGAAATATCACTTTGATGATACAAACAAAATAGGAAGTTATTATGGAGAGATGACCACCAGGAACTATATAGTCTAGTAAAAGAAAGGTTTCAGGTCATGAAGTACATGGAAAGGTTGGTCCCAGAGGTCACAGAGATAGTGTGGCCTTTGCATGCTAAGATAGCTACAGCAATGTAATTCAGTGCTGAAATGAAGAAAAAGGTTCTTACGTATTTCTAGATTAGGAGTCTTCAGCCCTAATCCAGAACAACCAGATACATAATAGTGTAACACATCATTGAAATATTCCCCTAGCCCTGACATCCCCTGTCCTTTGTCTATGGCATAGTACTTCCCTTTTGGGAAATGAAACCTGATGAACCAGTCTTGAATAACATCAGATGAGGGTCATGGGCAACATTTACAGCAAGTGATAGAGGTGCCATAGAAAATGTTCTGAGTTCAACTATTGTTTTAACAACTTCATGGTCAATTCAATGAAGATATTGGGTAAGTAAACCAAAACATTATCAACAACTGTGCTACATGCTGAGGGAGATACAAAGTTTGGAGAAAATGTGATCACTGACTTCATGGAGTTTACAATAAAGTAGAAGTTTCAGTGCTGCTACCTTTCCTATTTAAGGCAGCACTGGGCACTTTATCAACCCTTGGTTGAGTTTGCCATAAATAATGCCCTGCATGTCAATTTAATAATAGGTTTGCATTTCACAGTTAATAAAGAAAACTATGAAGTTTACAGAGTGAAGACATTCAAAAAACACTCTTTACTAGCTCACTAAGCACACTGAAGTTTGCATATCTGAATATGTTGGCTCTGCATTAAGGTTTACTACATATTCCCCATTTGGTCTAATATCCTAACCTTTTGTTCCTGGTGCTATAAGATATGCCTTGCTCCTAGACTGGGTTGACCACCGCTGACACCACTGACTGGGTGACTCCATTTCTATGTGTCCTAAAAAACAGAGTTTCCTTGTGGGGCTTTTGATCTACAGATGTGATAGATATTGAAGGGAAGGAGGGACTATTAGTACTTTGCTGCTATTATTCAGTCATTTTTCAGTCATGTCCAACTCTTTGTGACCTTTTTTGGGGTTTTCTTAGCGAAGATACTGGAGTGATTTGACATTTTCTTCTTGCCTAAAATGAGAGCAAATCATAGGCAACTTGAGGCATACTGCATGAACTGGCAATACTGGGGGAAACATTCTACCCAGGATTTAAAAATGTATATACATATACATATACATATACATATACATATACATATACATATACATATACATATACATATACATATACATATACATATACATATACATACATGCATGTGTGTATATACGTACATGTAAGTATATATGTATGTACATATGCATATATATACATATACATATACATATACATATACATATACATATACATATACATACATGCATGTGTGTATATACGTACATGTAAGTATATATGTATGTACATATGCATATATGTATATATATATATAAAGAAAATGGAACCAGGCTCAACAAAAATACAATCTTGCTCAGTCTATATAACAAACAATAATCTTGTAGAGAACACAGTCCTTACAGAGCAGTACTTTGAAAGTCAGGGGATAGGATGAAATAAAAGAAGGAGGACAGTAGGGCCAGCAGGGGCAAATGCTGTAGAAAATTAAAGGAAAAGCAAGAAATGACCATTGAACTTGGCAAATAAAACGTCTCTGCTTACAGAGAGATGTTTCAGTAAAATGAAAGGAATAGAAATTAGATTGTAGGGGATTGAGGAGTGAATGGTGGTAGGGAAATGGAGACAGCAATTGCAGACCATTTGTCATTGAAGAGAAGGATATAGCTAGGTCAATAGCTTAGAGGACAAAGTAATTGAGTTAAGATATTACCTTTTAGAATAGGAAAGAGATGAGAATGTTTGTAACAGGACAAGGGAGCTAAGAGAGAGGGAGGGGTTGAAGAGGAGAGTGTGTTGATCAATGGAAGAAGGTCCTTAAGGAAATAAAAGAGAATAGGATCATTGGCACAGAGGGAAGAGTTATGGTTCACAGGGAGTTGCCATCATATTCTCTGGGACAACAGGAACAGAGGAAGAAATAGGTGAGGACAGAGAGGATCTGAAGCATGAACAAGTGGGATAGGGGAATTTATGTCAGATGGCTTCAGTCTTCTTGGTAAAGAAGAAAGTGAGATCATCTTCTAAGATGGTGGGTAGAGGTAGAGGTGGGAGCTTGAGAAGAGAATGGAAGGTTTGGAGTAAATGCCATGGAAAGTGGGATAGAGAAGAAATAAAAGGGTTGCTGTGAAGGATCTTTTTAAGTTATATAACATTAATTTGTAGTAGATTCTGTCAGCTTGGTTTTGTGCTGTCTTCTTGTGCTTGATGTCTTGAGAGAAGAAGAAGAAAAGAGAGATGATAGGACTTTCCAACAGTTGCTAGGAGTTACTCACAACTGGAGACCATCAGGGCGGGTATACAAAGAGGTCAGGGAGGCAAGAATCCCACATTCTACAGGAAGTCTTTTCCAATCTCAATTTAAGAATAGAGGAGAACCATAGACTTAAGACTTTGAAGGCACAGTAGGAGATGAGATCTGGGAAAACTATCAGGGATCAAAGGATGGAAAGGTTTCAATGAAAGTATAAAGCAACTACAGAAGGAATTAGGGAAAAAGAATCAAAGATTGTGATCAGAGATGGGAATATGGAGCTCATTATTTTGGAACTTTGAATGACGGTGAGATTTAAACTATAACCACCTCAATGAGCAGCTGAGGTAGAGTGGAGATGGAGGATACAGTAGTTCAGGAACTTTGAAAGCAGGATGTTAGAAAGATTATAAGTGAATGATGATGCTATTGAGAATTGCTTAAGGGGTTGAGGTAAAGAGGAAAACCAAATCATTGAGGAAAGTGAGAAAGCATCTTAGAGGTTGGTAGATGGAAGGTTGTTAAGGTTGAACTGTTTACATTCCCTGCATGGAAAGATGATATTTATAACTTGTGAGACCTTTGTCAGTATTAGGGTAGTTGGAGGGAAAAAATTATATGTAGATAGGTAGATAGATAGATAGATAGATAGATAGATGGCACAGGGTGAGTTGAAGATGAAGGGATCATATCTGGAGAATAAAATTAAGGGTGAGAGAGGATTATACTAGGAGAAGGAGAAAGGGAGAGGTAGAATGGGGTAAATTATGTCTTTTTCTTTTCTTTTCTTTTCTTTTTTTTGTCTAGGCAATGGAGTTAAGTGACTTGCCCAGGGTCACACAGCTAGTAAGTGTTATGTGTCTGAGGCTGGATTTGAACTCAGGTCCTCCTGAATCCAGGGCTGGTACTGTATCCACTGCACTACCTAGCTGCCCCGAGGTAAATTATGTCACACACACACAAAAAAAAACAACAAAACAACAAAAAAACAGAAAAGAGAAGGCTCTTATAGTGGAGGGGAAATGGGGGAAGGTGAGAGGAAATGAGTGAATCTTATTCTCATAGGATTTGGCTTAAGGAGGAAATAACATACACTCAATTGGGTATGGAAATCTATCTTACCCTACAGGAAAATAGGGGGGAAGGGGACAAGCGAGCAGGAGGATGATAGACAGGAGGGCAGATTGGGAAAGGGGGTTAATCAGAAGCAAATACTTCTAAGTGTCAAAAGCAAGAATAGAATAAATGTGAGGGCAGGATAGGATTAAGACAAATAGAGTTAATTTTTTGCAACATGTCTACTATGGAAGTGTTTTACATAACTGCACATGTATAACCTATATTGAGTTGCTTGCCTTTTCAATGAGGGTGGGTGGGGACGGAGGGAGGGAGAATATTTGGAATCCAAAGTTTTAAAAACACGTTTAAAAAAAAGGTTTTCACATGCAACTGGGAAATAAGAAATGCAGGCAATGGGGTACAGAAAACTATCCTGCCCTACAGGAAAATAGAAGGAGAAAGGTATAAGAGAAGAGGGGGAGTGACAGAATGGAGGACAGACTAGGGGAAGGGGTATTCAGAATACATGCCATCTTGGGGTGGGGAGAGACGCAAGATGGGGTGAAAATTTGGAACTCAAAATCTTGTGGAAGTGAATGTTGAAAAGTAAAAATAGATAAATTTATTTTTTAATAAAGGGCCATCTTCAAAGTAAAAGGGCACCTTTAAACAAGCAAACAATTACATTTTGGGAAGATAAGTGTAATTTAAGCACAGTTCTCTGATTTGCACAATGTTCCTTCCCCTTCAGAACACTGGCCAGTGTGCATGGGTGAAGGAGTAGAGGAGGCAGCAATATTCTTATTTGTACATCTTCATCTCTGCCTCTTGCCTTCCTTGACTTCTTTCAGGGCCCAACCAGCATCCCACTTTCTACCAGAAGCCTTTTCCAATCTCAAATCTAGTACCTTTTCTTGGTGAATTATTTCCAATTTATCTTGTATACAGTTATAGCTTGTTTGTATATAGTTGATTTCTTCATTGTCCCCACCATTAGACTGAGAGCTCCTCAAAGACAAGGACTTTGGCTTTTTTTGTATCTCCAAAACTTAGCACCGTGGCTGGAATATATTAGCTGCTTAATAAAAACTTAGTGACTGACTACCTTCAGAGATAGTCTTAGAAAAATATTTTACCTTTTATAGGTATGATTTTCCTTAGAGAAAACAAAATCTTAAAATTAACTAAATTGTCTAATTATTAATGATTTTAATAACTTTTTCAGAGCAGAAAAGCTAAAGAAAACAGCAATAATATCTTATTTGTATATGTTATTTTGGGATACCTGTGAGAGTTGTTAGTCGAAAACTATGAAGTCCAACCAAAAATCGGGTTGGTAAACACAAAGGGAAGTAAAAGAAGCTATGGGGAGGCTCCCAATAACTTGCATCGCTAGGACAGGAGGTGTTCTTTTGCTAGCTCTGATATTTTACTCCTGCTATTAGTCATGCCCACCAGCAGCAGTTAGTATAATGTACCTCTTCACTGATGCAAGAGGGGAATGTGCAAGCCAATCCGCTTACTACAATATACTGGTCTTCAGATCACACTACCTAAATCTTACAGGCGTTATGCTTCCATGTTCAAATCCCTCAACCTACTGTTTTCCCATGCTATAGAGTGCAGTAGAAAGTGAGCTGGATTTGAAGCTAGAGGATCTGAGCTAAATTCCTCCCTTAGACACTTAGTAGCTGTATGACCCTGGACCAGTCACTTAATCTTGCTGTGCCTCAGTTTCATCACTTGTAAAATGGGAAAAATAATAGGCCCTATATCATATGATTGTCATGAGATTCAAATGAGATAATATATCAAAAGTGCTTTTGAAAACTTACAGCAATATATAAATACTAGCTTCTGCTGCTACTGCTGCCTGTATTGAAATCCTATCTCTGCCACTTACCAGCTGTTCGATCTTGGGCAGACCACCAAATCTCTCTGGGCTTAAGTTTCCTCTTCTACGAGATGAAGAGATTAGAGTAAATGGCCTCTGAGATTCTTTGCAGCTCTAAATCTACGATTCTAAGTGTCTTATCTGAATTGGCAATTTGATGCTCCAAGTCCAGGACCTCGTGGACTACAAATGCATCCTTGCTGTGTCTATGATGTGGTGACTAAAGGACCAGGTCCTGCATGACCAGGAAGGCCCAAAGAAGCTTCCAAGTGAGGAAATTACATAAGAGGTACCTCACTGATAACAAAAACTTGTTCCCAGGTTTCAGGGTTTTTTATAGGGACTAGGGATTGAGCCTGTGATTTCACTGATATAGAGAACTCCCAGATGAAGTGATTGTCTCCACTAATGAATGTTGGTACTTTCTCTCCAACTTGTAGTCTTAGAAACTTGCCTAGGGAAATGAGAGGTTAAGCAATTTGTCCAAGGACACACAGTTAATATGTAAAAGAGGCATAGATATTTTTGACTCAAAAGCCAGCCACTTAGCAAGTATGTATGTGAATACATACACATATATGTACACAGAGTATATAATATGTGTGCATTTATATATACTTATAACACATGTGTGGTACATTTGTATATATGCTGTGTATGTGCATATATCTATATATGTGCATATATATATATATATACATACATACATATATACACACACACACACACACTTGACTTATGATTCCATTGGTATAGGCAACTCCCAGATGAACCTCTACTAATGTATAGTGCAGAGTAGCTATTGGAAAGCCTCTGTCCCTATCAAAGATTTGCTGACTCTCTCCTGGGGTCAAAGCTCTCACAGTCAAATCATTAATATGATGTCACTATCCTGGGTTGTCATAGGTGCTTCAATTATCACAAAGCCTTAAAACCACAATCTTGTATCACCTTTTCTATATCACCAGAAGGTCCTGCTCCAAAGGAAATCAAAACTGGTATAAAAGTATCTTAATATTTAAATAATGACATATTATGACACATTTAGCTTTACTACCAATCAAAAGATATTTATTTGGCACCCACTATATGAAAGACATTTTGTTAGGCATTATGAAGACTGTAGTTTTCTTCTCTAGCATATGCACACCACTATGAATCTGTATGTACATCTCTCAGTATCTATACACATGTAAATAAACCATTTCTTTTAGGTCTCCAATCTGTATTACCTCTTGAAATAAGAGCACAATAATTTAACAAAAAAGAAATAATTTTGGCTGTGTGTACAGATATGCATCAAGGAAGAAATAATTTTGTCTGTATCCACTCACCATAAGATAAAACATCTCCTATATTCTGAGAACATTTGCCTTTTTAAAGAATATTCACTGGGTGAATATTTTGGGTTCACATACCTGTTCCCATTCAATCTTTGAAAGTTGGTCGATAGCCGATATTGATGATAGGGGTAAATCATGATGCCCGTATTTTAAATTAACTCCTGAATGTGTTATTGGTGGCATTAGAACTGATTTCATCTACAAGATAAATTCATTCTCTCTGTAAACATATTCATCAGAAACCCAGCTTAATTTTTTTCTGTTTTAATATAATATATTGATATCTTTTGTTTTTATGTTACTTCTGTTTCAAAGAAGAAGGAAGAGGAAGAGGAAAAGGAAGAAGAGAAAAAAGGAGGAAGAAGAGGAGAAGGAAAAGGAGGAAGAGGGAGGAGAGGGAGACAGAAGAGAAAAAAGAAGAAAGAAAGAGGAAAAAAGCAGTCTAGCAAAAACCACTCTAATACACGGGCATTTCAGTCTACACAATATTTCATGTCCATAATCCCTCATCTTTTCCAAGAAAGGAGGAAGATGCATTTTCTCAACTCTTCTTTGGAGCCAAGCCTGGTCATTATAATTTCACTGCATCTGGTTTCTCTATTTTTTTTCTTTTCTGTTGTAGCCATTGACCTGTGTGAGTGTGTGTGTGTGTGTGTGTGTGTGTGTGTGTGTGTGTGTGTGGTTTTGCTTGCTTTACTTTGTACTTGCTTATACTACATATATATATATATATATATAGTACATTATACTTATACTACATACAAATCTTCTAACGCTTCTCTGAATTCTTCATATTTGTCATTTCTTTTCTTTTCTTGAAATTGTTTCCCTATCTCATATAGGCTGTAAGTGTGGCAGTCACTCTTGGGCTGACTATATTTCTGACTGGCAGGAAAAGCTGTGATCCATTCTGTTTCCAACCTGAAACAGTTCTCTTTAGGCAAACTGGTGGTCCTCTGCTCCCAGAGGCTCACCATGATGAGGCCAAATTTATTGCAGAGACCCTACTGTATTTCAGAACTCCTGAGCTCAAGGGACTCAGTAATCTCCACTTCCCTGTAGCAAGGATTATGGAGTGGGACACTAAGATTGGCCATATTTATAATTTCTTACAGTGCAATAATCATTACATTTATGTACCACAATTTGTTTAGCATTTCCCCAAATGGTGGACATCTCATGTTTTCAGGTCTCTGCTACCACAAGAAAAATCCTGCTATGATTATTTTGTTATATATAGGATCTGTCTCTGACCACCTTGGGGCAGGTACTTTTTAATCATTTTTATTTTTAACAATGCCAACCAAAGGGTTCGACAAATTCACAAATTCATTAACAGTTTGCTTATTTTTCCACAGTCTTCCCACATTGACTGTTTCTATCTTTTGTCATCTTTGACAATTGGGTAAAATTAGACCTTACAACTGTTTTGATTTATATTTTTCTTATTATTAGCAATTTGAAATAATCTTTTCTGTGATTGTTAATAGCTAGCAATTCTTTTTCAAAAACTATTCATATCTTTTTACCTCTCTAAAGTTTCCAATGATCAATTAATAAGAATTAAGAAATTACCAAATCCAATTGCCTGTTCTCAATTCTGATCATCTTGGCCTCTCTGCAGCATTTGACACTACTGATAACCTTCTGGATACAATCTCCCCTCTAGATTTTTATGACATTGACCTCTCCCAGTTCGCCTTTCTATAATATTAATCTTTCTCGGTCTCTTTTGTTGTATCTTCCTTCAGGTCATGCCCACTGTGGTCATCTCCAAAAGGGATTCTGTCTTGCCCAGTATTCCCCTTTCCCTCCATACTTTGTCACTTGGTCGTATCATTAGTTCCATAACCTAAGTTCCTGTTTCTAAGTCTATTGGATCCTATCTCTAAGCAGATGATTCTCAGATCTATATATCCAGCGCAAACATCTCTCCTGGGGCAGCTGGGTGGCATGGTGGATAGCGTGCCATGCCTGGCATCAGGAAGACTCTTCTTTCTGAGCTCAAATATGGCCTCAGACACTTCCTACCTATGCGATCTTGGGCAAGTCTGTTGCCTCAGTTCCTCTTCTATAGAATGAGCTAGAGAAGAAAGTGGCAAACCACTCCAGTATCTTTGCCAAGAAAACCCCAAATGGGGTCACAAAGAGTCAGACATGATTGAAACAAATGAACAACTTCTCTCCTGAACTCTAGTCAGGAATCAGCAACTTCTTGTTAGACATATCAAACTGGTTGTTCCACTGGCATCTCAAACTCACAGGTTCAAAACAGAACTCATTGTCTCATATGTATTCCTTTCTCTCCACTCAGCACCCTAGTTCTGGCTCTTACCACCTCTCATTTGCACTACTACACCTTCTACCTGCTTTCCCTGCTTCAAGCCTTTCAAGCAATAGAGTCCTTGACTATAAAGGGTTATAAAATTCATTTTAAGAAGAATAGGAACCAGTTCAAAATGTTATTAAATTGTATGTATATATGTATATATAATTGGGATTTTTCTTTAAAGAATTGAATTGAGAGTTTCAACTACCAAAAAACTATGTGAAGTTTCATTTGCAAAAACAAAATGGAGCACATTAAACATTTTCTATCTGACTTGATGATAATAATGTAATCACTCAGAAAACAAAGCTCACAAAAAGAACTACCACTCTGGGTCTGCTGAAGCTTTCAGTTTGCGTAGTTCCTGATCAAATCTCACAGCCAGATGGTTTGCCTAAACTACCATTACCCTCAACCATGTTTCACTGTGAAATTATTTTCTCATTATTATTCATACATAGGTAGTTAGTCACTTTATGTTTCATTAGGGGAGTTTCATTTTTTAGTTAGCTTTTGACTAAGCTTTTAAGAGTCAACTATTTCATGACAAACAGTTCTCTGTAAACTCTATTACTTACCTTATTTCTTTTTATTTGTTTGAGTATATTCAAATCTGTATTTTCTGCTATTCCTCCATGTATGACCAGAATTTTTTCATCAATTATAGTGCCAATTGGAAGCCAGGTATAAACTTCTTCCAGAAAGCGCAAAATTTTTCCACCATGTTCCTAGAAATAAACAGTTTGAGTAAGTTTATTCATTTTCCGGAGTGATTTAAAGTTATATAATAGTAACTATGTTTGGAACAAAAGTACTTGTTTATGTTCCACAAAAGGGAAGAAATTTATATAGTTCTATTCATCAATTAGAATAAAATATACAGACATGAATGAAAAAATGGATTGTTTCATGTGTGACCCTCAGCAAGTCACTTAACCCCAATTGCCTAAAAAAAAAAAACTGGATTGTTTCAGATTTATTAATCTGCCAACTAACAACTTCTCCATAACACAACCAGACTAGAGGATGTAATGAGTAAAATGAAATCTAATGGATAGCTCACATTACCTAAGTTGATTTGTTATATTGTTTAATCTGAACTACATGGTAACAGCTAACATTCATATAGTACCTTAAGGTCTACAAGGGATTTTACAAATATTATCCTCATGACAACCCTGGAAGGTAGGTGTTATCCTCATTTTACGGATAAGGAAACTTAGATTGAAAGAGGTTAAGTGACTTAACTGAAAGCCCACAATAAGTATGTGAGAAAAGATTTAAACAGCTTCTTTTTGACTCCGTGTCCAGTACTCCATTCCCTACGCTGCCCAGTTGCTTCATACAATATCATACATATCAATCTCTTGGACCAGGGGTGGAGAACCTGTAGCTTCAAGGCCACATATGGCCTTCTAGGTCCTCAGGTGTGGCCTTTTGACTGAGTCCAAGTTTTGCAGAACAAAACCTTTATTGAGGGGATTTGTTCTGTGAAGTTTGGATTCATTCAAAGGGCTGCACTTGAGGACCTAGAGGCCCCATGTGGCCTCAAGGCTACAGGTTCCCCCTCCAGGTCCTGGACCATTAAGGGTTACCAATGATAACCCCAGGGCATATATGGTGCTAATCCAACTCAGTTCCAAGAGCCTAGAAATCTCTTGAGATCCTCAACTGCTAGAGGATATTCTAGAACTAAAAGCAGTTACAAACTTTTATCAGCTTTCAACTGATAGAGAATAAGCAAGCCATTGTTACACCAATGTCATTGCCACATCATGTACCATGCATCCCCCTGCCTCCCATAATCAATAAGGAGAATAACAGAATAAGAATTTATTAAATGCCTGATATGTGCCCAGAACTGTGCTAAGCACTTCACAAACATTACCTCATTTGAGCTATACCTTTAACGTGAAGGGAAACTGGGAGGAGGAAAAGGGAGAACTGGGTGGTTGAGGTGGAAAATAAACTTTACTGACTTCAAAATTTTGCCTAGAACTTGTTCTGATTATTGACACTGAACAGAAAATCACCTGTTAGACTTCCTGTTATCTCTCCATAGTCTTCATATAATAACTAGTGATCCAGCTAAGATTCTTTCTCCACATTCCACATGGCAGGTCCTAGGGGACTTGATACTACAAGTGAAGAATTCTTTCCTAGTCTCCATAGACAGCCGTTTTTATCCTGCCATCACGACTCTACAGGAAATGAACGCTTTCTCTTTTTATCTATTGCTTGTGCGTATTATACTAGCTTATTTGTTCATAGGTTCAATTAGATATATGTAGCTATTCATTTTAATTTCTTCTCTGTACTCATATGGATTGAATCATCTGGGTAATGTTCATCACATATACGTATGCATATATATTTGGATATCACTGATGTAATTAAATACTGAGCCCTCAAAGGGAAAAAGGAGGAGTGGTTTCTCTACCTTGTGCCCTTCTTCTTGCTCCCCCCTAGGATAAACTAATGCAAAGATGATTTGGAAAATCACATTTAAAATCAAGAACTATGATTCTACCATGCACTTTGCATAAAGAGCAACAAGACGATGCCAGGAGATTTGGGTTCAAATCCTGGCTTCAACTTTGTAGCTGTGTGATTATGAACAAGACACTTAACTTCTGTGGGATTGTTTCCTCATCCATAAAATAGCCTGATTCTACTTAAAATACATACCTTAGAGGATTGCTGTGAGAGCAGCAATTAAGGAACAATATAAGTATACTTTAAAGCACCATAAAATGTGTTGTTATTATTTCATGCTACCTGCATAAAATTTATATACATGTTTTCAATATATTGCTTTCTAGTTTATTTCTATCAAAACATTTTGGAAGGTAGTATGGCACAGTAGAAAGAACTTTGGCTTGGGAGTCAGAGGACCTGGGTTCAAATCCTGCCTCTGACACTTAGCACCAAGGTAACTAGCATTTACATAGAGTTTTAAAGTTTGCAAAGTGCTTTATAAATATTATTTTATCCTCACAAGGAAATATGTGGTATTATTCCCATTTTACAGGTGAAGAAACTGAGGCTGAGAGAGCTCAAGTGTGCTGCCCAGGGCCACAGAGCTAGTGCTTGAGGCTGGATTTGAATTTCTTCCTTCCTTCCTAACTACAGGTCTAGTGCTCTAACTCTGCCACCTAGGTACCCCTAAGATATGGGTAGAGAATGGCTGGCTAACTGTAGCTCCACATATGCTTGTTTTATTCTTGATTAATGCATGAAACCAAAGGAAATTAGGGGGGGGAAATTCTTACCTTATATTTTTGCATAATTTCTTTTGTGAAGCCATACCTAAAAACAGCAATAGGAATGCAAACAGCTTAACTAAATGTTAATTAATTCAGAGACATACTGAAAATTATATCCCAATAATGAGAAACAAATAAAGTTTTGTCTAAAATTATTTTTCATTAAGTATTTATTGAGCATTTACTAGAAGTAGAAAACTTCCTCTAAGTACTATGTATGAAGCAAAAGTAGTCCAATATATATATAGTACCTACCCTCAGGGATTTCCATATCTTGTTGTAGTTAAACAATTGGAAAATAATATAAAGTGTCTCATTAAATGATATACTATATAGTACAATATTCTTAAGGACTTAAGAGAAAGGAGCCAGAGTGAACGAGATTTTGTAATGAATTAGTAATCCAAAAAACATGACTGAAGGATAATAATTAATAACATTTTGGAGTTGGAAAAGGCTTCATAGGTCATCTTGTCCAAACTCTAACTGAAGCATAAATTACTCCAAGGGCAATGAATGGGGAGAGAAATGATAAGATTTTACCATATTACCACTTGAAAGAAGTGGCATAAAAAAGGAATGCCTAATCAGAGAAGGAGGTAGGCTAGTCATGTATGGAAAGTAAAATATAACAGACACATAGGACAAGTACTGCTATGGTGACATATAACATCACTTGGAGAATACTGGAAACAAAAAAGACGGAATTTTGCATTAGAGGGTAACTTTGGATTGTTGAAAGCACTTCATCATTTCCAAAATGCAATTCAGTCTACTGTTTGCCTCTTATTCAATTCTTGGCCCAGCTTATTGTTGACTGTAGTGACTGTCCAAAATATCTGTAATTTATAGATAACTAATAATATATAACATTTACATAGCACTTTTTTTGTTTTTGGCTAGGCAACTGGGGTTAAGTGATTTGCCCAGGGTCACACAGTTAGTAAGTATCAAGTGTCTGAGGCCGCATTTGAACTCTGGTACTCCTGACTCCAGAGATGGTGCTCTATTCATTTCGCCATTCATTTGGCCCCTTTTATCAAAGATTTAGAGGAGGATATGTACAAGAGATTACTTTTTCTGGTTCTTTTCAGTTTTCACAAGTCTCAACTCATATTAATATTAGTATTGTTGATCAGTGACATGTTGGGGTACTTATGTTAGAAGGTGTGCCCTTGTTTTCATCTACTGACTAGTCTTTGAAAATCTGAGTTTCTCGTGCAGTTCTTTAGGCCTTCTATACAAGTCGACTTCTCTATTCATCTGAATCATTTGCAAATGAATTATCATTATTCTTGATCATATCTTTTGAGCTGACTTTTCTTTTAAGAGTCTCAAGCCATATTTTCTCTAAACTCATGAAAGCTACTCTCCTAAAGTGTAGGATATATGTCAGACTACATTTCTTTCCAGCTTCTTCCATGCTCTCCCTCAACCAGAGCCCTGATTCATAGAGGTCATGAAAAATGAGATTTCAGAATTCTACTAAATCTAAGTATATAGTTCCTCAACCTCCCCAACTCTAATGATCTTTTCCTCTGCCCCATTTCAGGCACACACTAATATAGTTACACCAACTTCTTAGTAGACCCCACTATCTAACATCTCCATTCCCCTTTCAGGCCTTCTGAACCTCACTGGAGAAAATAATAAAATTGAATTTATTTCAACCACTATGTAACCTCAGATGAGCTTTGCTATTCCTTGACAGTCTTTCTACTCTGCCATTATCACTTCTTCTTCTTCTTCTTCTTTTCTTCTTCTTCTTCTTCTTCTTCTTCTTCTTCTTCTTCTTCTTCTTCTTCTTCTTCTTCTTCTTCTACTACTACTACTACTTTTTCTTCTTCTTCTTCTTCTTCTTCTTCTTCTTCTTCTTCTACTACTACTACTACTTTTTCTTCTTCTTCTTCTTCTTCTTCTTCTTCTTCTTCTTCTTCTTCTTCTTCTTCTTCTTCTTCTTCTTCTTCTTCTTCGCAATTGGGGTTAAGTGACTTGCCCAGGGTCACACAGCTACTAAGTATGAAGTGTTTGGTCTGAGGCCAGATTTGAACTCAGGTCCTCCTGATTTCAGGGCCAGTGCATAGTCACTTCTTTATCTATTTCCACGCAAATGACGTTTCAAGCATTTTCTTCTCTCCTCTTGCTCCCAACTACACCTCTATTGCCCACACTTAGGGAAGATAGCTTCACATAGAAGACTGAAGCCTTTTAACATGAACTTCCTCAAACTCCCTTCTCCATCCCTCAAAATTTCTCAGTGGTATCTTCCTTCTAGCCACAAAAGTAATCACATCCCTCTATTTGCACCTTGATCCCATTCCCTCTGCAAACTCCAAGATCTGTCTCCAGCAGTCAGTCCCTTTGGTTTATATATTTTCAATCCCTCCACCTGCCCAAGTGATTCACCTCTACCCCAACAGATTGTCCTCCCTGTCATCCCCACTGTATCACTTATTTTCTATCTCTTCCTTGTCTGTTGACTGCTCCCCTAATGCCTGCAAACATGCCTGTGTCACCCCCGTTCCCAAAAAACCCTCATTTGATACCTCTTCTGCCCTTTATGGCCAAACAGCTTGAAAAGGCAGTCTATAATAGACGTCTTCATTTTCCCTCCTCTCATTCACTTCTTAGCATCCTACAATACGGCTCCCAACATCATCATTCAACTAACATAGCTATCTTCAAAATTACCAATGATTTCTTAATAGCCAACGATCTCTTAATGGCCTTTTCTTAATCCTCATTTTTACTGACCTCTCTGCAGCATCTACAGTACTATTGATCACCCTTTCCACCTGGATATTCTCTCCTGTGGATTTTGGTGACACTGCTATTTCCTGGTTCTTGTACTAGCTGTCAAATCACTACTTCTCAGTTACCTTTGCTGGTTTTTCAACCATGTTAAGCCCACTAACCACAGGTGCTCCCTAGAGCTCTGTCCCTGGGCTTTCTTTCTATTTTTTGCTCTATACTAACTCACATGGCAATTTTATTAGTTCCCATGGGCTTAATTATCATCTCTATGTATATTATTCCCATATCTATATATACAGCCTTAGTCTCTCTCCTGATCTACAATGCCTCATTACCTACTGTCATATAGAAAATCTCAAATTCAACATTTCCAAAAATGAACTTAAGTTTCCATAAACCCACCCCTCTTCTAAACTTCCTTATGATTCTATAAGGTACTTTCACCCTCCCAGTAACTCAGGCTCACAGCCTTAGTGTCACCTCCTCATTCGCATTCACCCCTACATCCAACTTTTTGCTAAATCTTGTCATTTCTATGTTTACAACATCTCTAGTATATATACCCATCTCTCTACTCACATGTTCCCTACCATACTTCAGCTTTTATCACCTTTTGCATAGACTTGTAGGAGCCTTCTATTTGGTCTCCTTGTCTTAAGTCTCTCATCACACGAATCCATCCTCTATGTAGCTTGCTAAAATAATTTTCCTAAAGTGTAAGGATCCCAGTATCACTTTTCACATTCAGTAAACTCCAGTGGCTTTGTAGTCACTCTAGATTCTTTTAAGGGCTCTTTCTGGCAGCATAATTTGTTCCTTTATGAATTTCTAGAGGGAGGTAGCAATTTATAGGTTTGAAAAGTCTCAGGATCTTCTCAACATCTTGTATGCACATTCCAAGTCAATAGCAGAACTCACAACATATGAGTCTCTGTACCTTTAAATACCACAATGAAGCTCCCTTTATATAATAACAAAACCCGAGGAGGACTCCGAGGCCAGCTCTCTCATTTAATAAATGAAGAAATCAGAATTCTGAAAGATTAAATGACTTGCCCAAAATCACATAGGTCATAAGTAGGAGAGTTAGGATTTTAATCCAGGTGTTCTGATTCCAAACCCAGAATTCTTTGCACAGTAACAAACTGTTTCTTCCACCTCTCCTTTGTCTTGCAGTCTCCCATACTCTAACTCCCTAGATACATTTGGTTTTCCCTTTATCTCTTTCCATCTTTCTTTTCTTTATTTTGTATCTGGATCACATTTTGTAGGCTATCAATTAAGACTTAATCCTCTGTGATAAGACAAAGGGTACACTGCTAAGAGTCTGCTGAATATGATAAAAATGTCCAACCTAATCTTTACTGCTCTACCAGCAAAAAGCTGGCTCTTCATTTTCCCTATACAGAGATCATGTAACAACATACAATGTCTTAGGTGAAAGTCCCAAGAATATTAATAGTTGAATGGAATTATCTAGAAGAGGTAAAATGATGAAAAATAATTTTCTTCATTAATTATCCTCAGTTTTGTACAGCTCATTTAAAATGCTGGAGTGGTATAGAGTTCTCAAAGTGCGGTCTAGGGACCCTTGTGGGTTCTTTAGACATTTTCATGGAGCCCACAAGGTCAAAATTATTTTCATCATAATTCCGACATTTTAATTTCTAACATGGTAAATGCCAATAGACATAACCAGAGATATACTTGGAGCCAGCTTGAACTGGCTTGTAAGAGTCAATTATTAATTTTCCAGTGTGAGCATTTATACCTCAGATATGGTCGAATGCTACAGAGCAGGACTTGATTTATTATTTTGTTGATTTCTAGACCAGAACAAATTTGTTCTGTGAAGTTTGGATTCAGTCAAAGGGCCATGCTTGAGGACCTGGAGGGCCACATGTGGCCTCAAGGTCAAAAGTTCCTCACCCCTGGTCTAGACTTTAAAAAGTGATAGAGAAAATATTAGTAAGACAGATTAAACTTAAAAATGAGTCACCCATTTTGGGAAAATTGGTTATTAAACCAGCCCTATCAGCAATCATTGGATGTAACCACTTAAACAAAAGCTCTTTGGGTCCTCAATAATTTTTAAAAGTTGTAAAGGGATCCTAAAACCAAAAAGTTTGAGAATTGCTGGTGGAGGAATAGCATCAACCCTATAAATGCACCACGTAACAAGTTCATGTTACATAGTATTTTAAAACAAGTTTTGACCAATGACAGGGCCACTAAAATCCAATAAAATGGATTCTTAAAGGTTATTCAAATATTGTTAAGATGCTTTGAGTGCTAGCTAGCCCAACAAAAGAAAGTCATCTAAGGACTAGCCTAGATAAGTAGAGAGTGAGTGGCTCAATCCAAAAGCTGGCTGCTAATTGATGAATTATATGGCCCAAACATCTCAGTATTGAGGGGCTATGATCTTCAATCTATGACTGAATGTTGATGCAATTATGTATCCAAATATGTGTAAGGAGCCATGCTGTAACAAGGCATACTGGAGTGCCCAATTTGTTACTATTTTATTCTTTGATTTTGTTTTCATTTGTGGCATTGGCTTCTACACAGTAATCTTAGAGTATAAACATAATATAAAGGAATGATATCATGATGATTTTTCCCCCCTTTATAAACATCCAAGCCTGAGGGACCCTTTACTTTTTCCATAGAGACCAAGACATGAGATGACATTTTCTAATGTTCTGAGGAGAGATTGTGCATAGAGTCAAAAGGAATATAATCCTAATTTGTGTAGGGCAGGCCTGCACAACCTGCAACCAGCCAAAGGATTTCAGGTGGCCATCGAAAAATGTAGAGGAAGACATCCTCTACATTTTTCACTGGCCATCCAAAATCCTTTGGCATGCCTACAGGCCATAAGAGGCCCAGGGGGCCACTGGTTGTACAGGCCTGGTCTAGCGGATGCATGAGCCCAAAAGTGAGAAGTTCATTTGAGAAATCTCTCAAATTTTCCCCCAATTTGTTTAAATTGAGCTACGGGTTACATATGCAAATTGAGTTTAAAGTAAGTCTCAAATATATAAAAAAACTAAGCCAAAAGTTATTATGAAATTACAACTTTTTCTTAAGCTAATAACAAGAAACTGATAGATAAGTAAATGTCTGAGGTACAAAAATCAGGAGCTGAAATAGTTCTATCTTACTTTTATCCCACCCCTTCAGTCTGAACCACAGCATGACCTAGCATGTCTCCTGTTTATACAAGATACTTATTTCTTGTGTGACCTTTGGCAAGTCATTGACCTTCCCTATACCTCAATTTCTTCATCTGGCAAATGAAGAGGCAGAACAAGGACACCTCTGAGGTCCCTCCCATCTCTCAGTCATGTTTTGGAAGGTCTAAATTTCAGGATCTTTCACAATGTGAAGTATATGCATGAAATAAAATTAAAAGAGAACTTTCATAGGGTACAAAATAAAATAGAGAAAAACCTAAAGTCAGCCAACATTACCTCATGTTCATTAGATAATCCTCATGATTCCCTCTGTTCAAGTACACATCACTGGGATAAACAAGAAGAAACGAAAACAGGACCATCAGTACCTCCATGGAATTTTGCCCTCTATCTACAAAATCACCATTGAAAATGTATCTGTTATTCCCTGATGGGAGACCATTCTGTAGAAAGAGGAAGAAAAAGAAAATCTACCAATGACATGAATTACAATCATATATCATAATAAATCTTTAGATAGAGTAGATCATTAAGACAAAATAGATCATTTTGACCACATAAAATTAAAAGGCATTCGAATTAATTAAATCAGTGAAAACAAAATTAGAAGATAAGTAACAGTTGGGAAAGTATATACATCAAATATCACCAACAAATTCTGATATTCAAAATAAATGAATTCATAGCCATATCTCATGGTTTGGGCTTTCTGTTTTGTTTTGTTTTAGTGAGGCAATTGGGGTTAAGTGATTGCCCACAGTCACACAGCTAGGAAGTATTATGTGTCTGAGGTCAGATTTGAACTCAGGGACTCCTGACTCCAGGGCTGGTGCTCTATCCACTGCGCCACCTAGCTGCCCTGGGTTTTTTTTTTTTTGACCAAATATATTATTACTGAGTTTGATCAGACACTTTATTTACTAGATTTAGTTACAAATTAATTTTGGCTATTTCAAGAAATCAAATCTGTCCTCAAAGGATAAAAATTTAGCAGCAATGAAAATATTCAACCAATTAAATAACTAACCATCTTCTATTTCAGTAATATCATCAGATCTTGTAGGTTCAAATGCTGTCTCTATGCCGGTGACTAAAATCTATATATCCAGCCCTAGTCTCTCTCCTGAACTCTAATCCCACATTACCCAATTGCCCTGTTGGACCTTTTGAGCTGGATGTCCCCTAGGCATCTCAAACTCAACATGTCCAGAAAATCATTCATCTTTTTCCCCAAGCCACAACTCTTTCAAACTTCATTTATTATTTTTAAAAAGTATTTATATCTTTTGTTTTTTATATATTGCCCTTGTATCCTTCTCCTCTTCCCCTCCTAGAGAAACATCCCATATAACAAATTTTTTTAACAGAAACAAAGAAAAAGAAGAGAAAAATGAGCAAAATTGGTCAATTCATAGAAAAAAATCTGACAACACATGCAGTGTTCCATATTCATGGACCCCATCTTCCCTCTGCAAAGTAGTAAGGGAAGTGTCTTCTCACTTCTTCCCCCAAAACAGCCTTATTTCTGTCGATGATACCACCATCCCTCTAGTCACCTAGGTTCACAACCTTCCAGTCACCTTCAACTCTTCATTCTTCCTCAATCTCTGACACCAGTTAATTGTTATGCCTTTATACCTCCACAATATCTCTCCAATTTGTCCCTTTTTCTTTAGCTCCATAGCCACCACCCTTCCCACATCTAACCTGAATGACGGCAATAACCCAATTGGTCTCCCTGCCTTAAACCTCTCCCCTCTCCAGTCTAAGCTCCATATAGCTGCCAAAGTAATTTTCCTAAAACATAGGTTTTATCTTTCCTGTGAAATCCTGGTGAGTTGGCTTAAAGAGTGAACCTGAACTATATTGCTATGAATTCCATTCCAATTGCACAACGCACCATCCAGCTGAGTGAATAACTGGCTGGTCTGGTCCATTTGGTCTACCTGGACCAAAGATACTCAGTTTGATAAGCTTGGCAGTACTTTAGCTTAAAGATAATTGCTATTTCATATTAATAATTAAAATTTTGTAAATGACCTTTTGAGGCTTGTAAATAATTGAAAGAACTTATAGAGACCCAGGGTAGAGAGGAAAAGAATTATGTTATTAATGATGACAATAGTTAACATTTGTATAATGCTTTTAGGTTTGAAAAGAGCTTTACATATATTATCAAGTCTGATCTTCAAAACAGTTCTATGAGGTAAGTGCTATTACTACCTCCATTTTGCTGAAGAGGAAACAGAGGCTGAGAGGCTTGAAATCAGGAAGTCCCAAGTTCAAATCCAGCCTCAAATACTAGCATGCGACTCTGGCCAAGTTACTTAACCTCTCTCTGTCTCAGTTTCATCATCTGTAAAATGAGCGTTTTGGACTTCATAGCCTTTAACCTCCCTTCCAGCATAAACATATGATCCTATGAGTCTATGATCTCACTAAGTTCTTTCAGTCAGTGAGTTTCTGAGGCAAGATTTGAACCCAGGTCTTCCTAACTCTATGTCCAGGACTTCATTCACTCTGTCCCCTTATTCATTCCTTCACATGTTTCTGTCAAAGCTACCACCATACTTCCAATCTCCTAGGTTTATAAGCTTAACCTTATCCTCAACTTCTCACTCTCCCTTATACCATACATCTAGTCAGATGTCAAATATTGACATTTTTATGTCAAAAGATCTCTCATATCTGACTCCTTCCTAGTAATGTAGCCACCACCTTAGTTCAGGCTATCATCATCGTTCATCTACTCTAATGCAATGGGCACCTGATTCACTTCCCTGACTCTACTTTCTCCTTACTCTATTCCATTATCCACATAGATGCTAAAGTGATTTTTCCTTAAGTGCAGATCTGACCATGAAATTCCCCTACTCAACCAATTCCAGTAGGTCCCTATGCCTCTAGCATCCATTATAAATTCTGCTGTTTAGCATTTAAAGCCCTTCGTAGCTTTCCCAAACCTATCTTTTCAACCTCATTGTACGTTACTCCCCATCCTGTAACCAAAGTGGCCCTTCTCTCTGTTCCTCGGAAAAACTATTCCATTTTCCATTTCTGTGCCTTTAGACTGGTTGTTTCCCATGTTGGCAATGCACTGTCTCCTTATCCCTGCTTCACAGAATCCCTTTTTCCTTTAATATACAGCTAAAACACCACCAAATAAGTGCCTTGAACAAAACACTCCAAGTTGTGACTCCAGGTATTTTCTCTGGCTATCCCTCACACTCTCCCTCCTCATCTCCGTCTCCTGTATTCTTTCAAGCCCTAAATAAAATTAAATCTTTTGTAGGAAGCCTTTCCCAATCCCTCTCAATTGTAGTATTTTCTTTCAGCTGATTATTTCCTATTTATCCTGTTTATAGCTTGTTTGTACATAGTTGCTTATATGATTACATGATCCCCACTATACTGTGAGCTCCTCAAATGCAAGGCATTGCCTTTTGCTTTTCTTTATATCCCCAGAGCTTAGCACAGTGCCTGGCACATGTTGTTCAGTCATTTTGAGACGCTATTTGAGGTTTTCTTAGCAAGGATAATGGAGTGGTTTGTCATTCCTTCTCCATCTCATTTTACAGATGAGGAAACTGAGGCAAACAGGGTTAAGTGACTTGCCCAGGGTCACACAGCTAGCAAATATCTGAGGCCAGATTTGAACTCACAAAGATGAGTCTTCCTGGCTCCAGATACCGTACTCTATCCACTGTGCCACCTGGCACATAGTAAGTGCTAAATAAATGTTTGTTGATTGGTTGATCATGCATTTCTAATCAACATATGAGGTACATAACTCCTGGATTGCCCTAGAATCAAGATAGAGAATTAAGGAAATGAGCCAGTAGAAGGCAGAGAGGGAGGAGTGAGGGTTATTGGAGCTATCAGCTAGTAGATGTACTGTCACATTCCACCTAAACAATAAATGAGGGTATTGTCCTTAAATCTTTAAACATACGCTTTGGATTTACTCTTACAATCCATAACAGATTGGGTTTCTATAGTATGGCTGGCTATATTCCCTGTAGGCATCTATGGGTACCCATGAGGGACAATGGAGTTATCTTTCTAATGCTCTTGACTCAAACTCCCACAAATATCTTTCTTCCCATGATTATGAGTACTTTATCAATTAGTCAAATTTAAGTAGCTTTCTAGAAAAGGGTGTTTTCTAACATGAGACAGTATGAACAGTTGTCCTTACTATCCCCTTTTTTGTCCACCAAAAATCTGTGATGCATTCTGCCGCTAGTATAAAGTCCTGAGGTAGGTGGTCTCAAGTTTAGAGACAATTCATAACTCCTGGAAGCCCTTTTGCTGGAGTTCTCCAGGTGTTGAATTTAAGTATAGTGTATTCTGCTGGGCTTGCTGCAGAGTTATGAATCTGTATCCAGTCTGCCCTTGCCTCTGATGCAGACACTACCATCAGCTGTTCCAGGGATGCAGCTAGGCTGCTGATGGGAAGTCCTCTGGAATTCTAAAGTTCATGAAGTCTTTCCATCAATGGTGATGGGAGTGGGGGGAAGACAGGAAACAAAGGCTGAGAGTTAAGTGACTTGTCCAGGGTCACATAACTACTAAGCATCTGAGGCCGGATTTGAACTCAGGTCTTCCTGACTCCAAACCCAGAGTTCTATCCATCGTGCCACCCAGTCTCCTACTATTGTATCTACATGTTCATTAAAACATCATAGGAAAGGCTCTAGAGTAGAACCTTCCACTTAGTAGATGCTCAACAAATATTTGAATGAATGAATGAAAAAGTAAATGAATGAATGAAAGACAACTGGCATATTTGGAATAAAGAAACAAAGGGAAAATGTAGGGCTCTACTCTTGAAGCAAAAAGAAAAAGTCGAAATTAAAAACACTAGTGACTATGACCTTTTTCCTTCTCTTCTGATTGATGAATTCTTCACCCCATTTCATGAGATGCCCAGGCCATGCTCACTTCAATCTGGGCTCCACATCTTACTCTCTAGACTTTTCTAGGTCCTTTCCAACAATCTTCTCATCCTGGAGGTACCTCTGCCTTGTAACCCTCTCTTCTGATGGGTGAGTACCTAACCTGAACTACCATGTCATAGATTTTCTAAAGGTATTGATCAGTTTATGCCAATTATTTCTCTTCACGTTTTTTTTATTTTTCCTCTTAAGACTATTCTTTATTATAAATTATGGCTCTCTAAAAGGGGAAGGAGAATGAATAAAAAGGGAAATATAAGCGATATAAAAACAAAAGATATCAATAAAAATTAATTTTATTTTTAAGTAACGAATATGAATGAAAGCTTTTGTCTAAACATGAGAGAAACAACCGGCACATTGAATGCTTCTGATATTATGTGATTTGACTTAGTTCTCTATATATTTTGGAAATGAGGCCCTTATCAGAGACACCAATCATAAAAATTCTTTCCCAGTTTTCTACTTCCCTCCTAATCTTGGTT